GTATCGCCTATCGTCTCAAAATAAAGATTGGTAATCACAATTCAATAGACATGCATCGAGATTTCCAGCTTTCAGAGAGAGAGAGAGAGAGATAGAGAGAGAGAGAGAGAATATATTTTCATTAAGATTTCGAAATTAACAATACACTACTGTTTATTTTGCTTGTATTGCAAATAAAATTGAGAATGGAAATGGGGAATGTGTCAAAGAGACAACAACCCGACCATAGAGCAGACAACAGCCGAAGGCCACCATTGGGTCTTCAATGCAGCGAGAAACTCCCGCACCCGGAGGCGTCCTCCAGCTGGCCCCTAAACAAATATGTATACTAGTTCAGTGATAATGGACGCCATACTAAACTCCAAACTATACACAAGAAACTAAAATTAAAAATGATCCAAGACTAACAAAGACCAGAGACTCCTGACTTGGGACAAGCGCAAAAATGCGGCGGGGTTAAACATGTTTTTTGAGATCTCAACCCTCCCCCTATACCTGTAACCAATGTAGAAAAAACAAACGCACAATAGTACGCACAGTAAACCTCAAAATACATTTTTCAAATAAAATTAAACAGATATGCAACCGTGAGGATAACATGGTTGATTTTATCTTATTTGAATGTTTTTGTAGGCTGTCATCAAATTAAGCATTAAGGATGGCGCCAATTTGATATATCAATTGCGCATTCAGAACAAAACCTTTGAGGCATGGGGACCTTACCTACAACAATCGTTTTAGTGTTGGACAACTGAAGGGAAAATGAGACTTATTATGCAAATCTTTGCTCAGATAAGTAATAAATGCATAAATTCTTAATGAATTAATAAACACTTAATTCAAAACAAATATCTCATTTTTGTCATTTCTTTCAATCATATTCATCATATTATGCAAGGAGTAAGACATGGAATGGTTAAGGTATGTACATTATCCCGCCATACCTGCAGAAATGAATATGTTAATCCTACCATTTATGACATTTATATAAGTCGTGATAATGAAAATATTCCAACAAAGATAAACATCAATTTTGTCAGTCTACTGACGTAGATTTCATGCCCAACACATGCGCTTGTGACGTAAAAATGACGTTGCTTAAAATCAAATAGGTTGGAATCGATATTTGAAACTCAGGCATATCACGTAGAATGTTTTAGAGAACAAACAGGTCAAAACTTTTTTTTCACATGTGTACATCATAATGGATAAGAGGGGTACATGATAGAGACTTACTATCTGTCTGTGATAAGTTGAGACCAACATTGAGATCAACAAATTCCTGACGACAACAACATAGCTCTAAAGCTTTAGTTTTTTAATTACCCTATATTCTTATAGGAAATTTATCAATCAAACGATAGTCGTTTGTACGGATTATACATGACTGTCATACAAGTAGGAGGTTTAGCTAGCTATAAAACCAGGTTTAACTTATCATTCTCCTCAGAAAATGCCTGTACGAAGTCAGGAATATGACAGTGTTTTCTACTCGTTTCGTTGGTTGATAACTTTTGATTTTGTCAGTATTGGTGTACTTTCTTTTTTTAATTTACCATAAATTTCGGTATTTTTGTTATACTTTTTTATTAGAATGTTTTTTCTGGTGGAGTTTTTGTCCCCGAGGGTATCGCCAGCCGAGTAGTCAGAATTCTGTGTTGACATGAATTATCAATGATATGGTCCTAATTATAAATTAACTTTTAACAAAACTTTTAGTTTTCCAAATTCTTAGACTTCTCTACCTCAGGAATAGATTACAGTAGCTGTATTTTGCAATACTTTTATGAATTTATGGTCCTCAATGCTCTTCAACTTCGAACTTTATTTGGGCTTTTTAACTTTTTTATTCGAGCGTCACTGATGAGTCTTTTGTAGAAAAACGCGCGTCTGGCGTGCAAAATTTCAATCCTGGCCTTGCAGTCATAAAACTTTCGAGCACGGATATTGTACTCAGACTCAGAAATCAATCAATCAAAATACTGGATTTGATGCTTCGAGCACATATTGTGTACTTCGAGTAGTGAATAAAGTTCTATGACCTAGGGCCCAGATATCTATGATAGAGTTTACTTACATTCTCAAGAAATTACAACATTTTCAAATTTGATTACGAATTTCATATACTGATATATTTTATATGTTCCTCATCAACATATATACAACATGCTCCACTGCATTTTGTCCCTGAACCAAGTCAGGCTTTCTGAACAATTAGTTAATCATTGCTGTTTGTCTTTGTAAGTGGTTTTTCTCGAAGGAGTCGATTGTTTATGGTTGGTTGTACTGTGTGGTATTTTGGCGGATGCCTGTTTTGGAGTGGACACCAGTCAAACTGTCTTAACAACAACGTACCTTTTCCCGAAGAAACTGAACCTACAATATTCTGCATCGAGACGAAGTGGTCAAGTTAATAAAGTTTTAACAATGCATTTTCCCAAAACCCATTGATCCCTGGCTCTTATTTGTTGAATGTGAGTCCAGTAAGGCGCATATGATATAACCAAAACTGTACCTTTTGCTTGATTTTATTACTACTCGGTGGTTGGCTCTGTTTGCTTACTTTAAGTTCTAATAAAAATAAAATCTTAAAATAGTCACGAATAATTTTGTGCATTTAAATAAATTCTAAATTTACATATTTTATAAATTTGACATGAAAACAACTTTCGAGGGCAAACTTGATTATAGCCTAACTTGATCATAATCGTTTCTGCTGTTCATTACTGTTGGAAGTGTTTAATGTATTTATCAACCCCAGGAAGTAAAATGTTTTGCGTATGATGAGAACTTTTGAATATTAACCAATAAAGGAAACATCAAATAAAGCAAAACCTTTGCGTTTCCCTTTATTTAATGAATCAATCGCGTTTGTACTTACATGAGCAACACAACGGGTACCATACGGGGAGCAGGATCGGCTTACGATTCCGGAGCACCTAAGATCACCCCCGGTTTTTGGCGGAGTTCGTGTTTCATAGTCTTAAGTTTTCTATGTTGTATTTAGTGTACTGTTGTTTGTCTTTTCATCATTCTCGTTTTTTGCCATGGCTTTGTCATTTTTCTTTTGACTTATGAGTTCGAATATCCCGTTAGTATCTTTCGTCTCCTTTTTTGCATTAGCCATATTTGAATCAACTTTTCAGAATTTACGGTGTTTAATGGTCTTTTAATCTTATGTAGACGAAACACGCGTCTGGCGTTCCAAATTATAAACATGGTATCTTGGTTTTTTCATCCACTGAGGTTAACTCTACTACCCGATGTTTTCCGCCAATCAATCATTTAGCATTTATATCGATCTTCTGTGTACATTCTAAAGAATTTTCATCTGATAAATTTCGAAAAATTAAAATTTTAAATGTTTGCTTTTTTTTGGTTGGTTTTGTGTATTTCAATAACGTGACATTCATCTATTGGTGAACTCCATTTATCCTTTCTCTGCTGCTTTGTTTTTATATAAAGGTAACTGCAAAAAATGTCCTATTGAGACGTTTTACTTTAATCGTATAATGTCACATTTCTACATTACTTTTTATTATTTCCTTTTCAAATGATTTTGCATTTAAATTAAAAATGTGTTCTTAAATTTTGAAAAGGTATATAAATAGTTTTTACTTTAAATAATTTCCAAAAAATTTGGTTTCAGAAACACTATGGATTTTTCAATGAGTGTAATTTAATCGGCTTTAAAGAAAAAAGTAATAGCAGATGTCTTTTTAAATGACTATTCACGATCCGTTATTATAACATTTATAAAGAATATACGCATAAATTGTGCGTTGCATATTTATTTTCCCTATGATACTAGTATATAACTGTTGAAGCATTGAAATATTTGTCGAGATTAATTATACAGGAAATTTTGAAGACAAAAAGGTAAAACATTAATGGTTAATATTTTCTTTTCTTCTTTTCATTATCCATTACCGATTTGGTGGCTTATGTTTATATTCATATTGAAATTTGTTTAAAGTAAATGAAAAAAGACGTCAAAAACTATTCTCGAATAAGAGAATTGGATGCCTAAGGACGCGTTCCTGTACACTTTGACAATTATTACTAAGTCTAATACAAATAGAAATTAGCTTCTCATGTTATTAAAAGGCATTAAATACGAATTAAACAAAAACAAAACAAACAAAAATTAAATTTGTTTTTTTAATTTTTCAAACATTTATAAAAGTAGAATATAGAAACGATATTTCGCTATTGCAGTCAGTATGCTTCAATTCCGTCAAAATGATATAAAAAACATCGCGGATGTATTATTGACTTGCAAGCCAATAAGTCAACTCGTTTGAGTCCATATGCATGCAGCATTTTGATTTGACCTTTAATGGAAATGGTATGCATGTGTATATCATGTGGTTCACTCATTAAGAATAGTAAACATTGAAAAGTGAAACAAGGGAGCAACTAGGAATTGCCATTTGGTTGACACGGCCGGACCCCAAAAAATCATTCTTATATTGGTATAACGATAATTTACATAATATTTTTAACCAATAAAAGAAAATCAAGCAGACCTAGAAAAATCCGACTGCACGTGCCCGGTTACATGACCGTTGGCAGTCTTCGGGAGTCATCTAGATGGATAATTAGATGACGTCTGGACTTTTGTAATTTGTATAAACGTTTTAGTATATTGTAAATAAGATATAGGAATTTTGGTCAAATCGGTGAACATAAATTTGACAGCTGATGATCCTTTAATGACTTTGTTTCAGTTTTGTAATGCCCTTTAAATGAATAAGTACATTTTAAATTTTGCTGACATAAATGTGTTGTAGTAAGTGTGTCGCAAACACCAGTTATATTTTACTACACATTACTAAACAGGAAAATTAATCTTGATTGAAATAACGGAATGTTACAAGCTTACCCGTTTGATTTGATTTCTACATTTATAAGTGACTATTGGGAGAATAAAACAAGACTTTAATTAAGTGCCAACAGTTGTTAACCCCTGTTGAAAACTCCTAATCAATTATGATATATCTTCAAGCGAGAAAAACCTGACAGAAATTCAAAACAGTGCACGACAGGATATTTTGACAGGGTAAGTGTATTTTCCTAGACCATGTTAGCAACGTAATTCATAGCACAGCTTTGTAAATAGCCTTGCTCAGGATTCTAAGAGTAATTTTTGTATAAGTGGCAAATCTAATTGATTCAAAATGTTTGAGACTTTAGTTGTTTATTTTCATAAAGGTCGTTTTATCTTGTTCGTATGTTTTAACAAACTATTTACAATCGCGGTGCTTTCAAATATTTCCGCAGATTGAAGGAATGATAACATTTTTTCTAATTATTGTTAAATGTTACTCAAAATAAAATACTATTTTACGAATTTCTATAAGCCTTACACAATGTACGACAAGTTGGTCACCTATAATCAAATATATAGCTTTTTATAGATCTTCTGCAATTATTTACACATTGCAGTCACATTTGATAATGAACATTTAAAACTATTTTGTATTTCAAGGAGCATTAGTTTATCGAGATCAAACAAAGCGATTATTTTTGTTTTGTTTTGTTTTTTTTATGTGTTGTTTGTGGTTACGGTGTTATCATTTTGTCCTTTGTTTTTTTTAAAGTAAACCGTAGTAAACTGAACATTAATAACATAGCCCAAGACATGATAAAGAATCAATATTTTGCACATTCAAATACAGAAAATAGATATGTACAAATTTTTGCATAGAACATTTTCTTTTGTTGTGTTCTTTAGATTTTGAAAGGGTGTTAAAATAGTTTTTAAAAAATAACAAGAAAATAAAGTTTCCCTAATTCCACATTATTCCGATCCGACCATGGGTTTTTAAATGATTATAATTGCAACCCGTGTAAACATGTGAAGTACAATAATAGATGTCTATCTAATTGACTATTCACAACCCGTTATTGTTTCGACTACATATATTTATTATGGAATATATACCTATTTTCCTTATAATTTTGTTGAAAAACCATCGAAATTAATAATATTAATATTGGAGGCTAAGGGAGACATCGAATAAAATTTTAAAGAAATATTAATTTCCTTTCTTTTTATATTTATCCCTTAAAATGTTGCGGCTCATTTTTGTATTTATGTTTGGAAAAATACCTTTAGGAACGACACTATCATCAGCAATGGCTTCGGCTGAGTGGAAAAAAGACTGATAGTTTTGTACGTCTGTTTTTTTAAAAGCGTTTCATGTTTGCACTACTTGTCACTGATAAGTTTAAATGGAACGGATAAACAAGACTTTAAATAGTTTTAACTGTAATACATAAAAACCAATAATATAACTCTTTTTGGGAACGATTTTATGACAGCTGTTGTCAATTAGTGCATGAAGGTTAAATATAACGTCTTCATAGTTTTGACATCTGAATGTTCATTCTGGAGCAAGGTCGTTTTAGGTTTTGTCTTTTTGGTTTAAATTAATATTCATTAAGGCAAATATCACACAGCTTTTTAATGTTTACAAGCTTAGGGATTGTTGAATAACTATTGTTTTAAATATACACCTCAGGTATTTCATTGTTTAAAATGCTATCATTGAACTGTATGGTATAAACGTCTACTGTTATCATATAATCGATTCTTTAAAGATAAACTTTGACAAATTTACACATCTCGGTCCATTTGAGCATTTAAATTTTTTGAACCTTAGAGGGGTACAATTGTTTTGTCATGTTTGTATTATTTTTTTTTTTTTTTTTTTTTTTAGGCTTTTTTTATTAATGGTACTTTTTGTTCTTCTTTTTGTTATAAATGTAAACCCTATTTATTTACTAAGCAGAATGCTACTTTCTGTCACATGAAATTGTCACACTTTTTTTAACAAAAATATATATTAAGTAGTCTAAAATCAATTTAAAGAAACAATAACAGAATGAATTGATGAACTCAGTTGCTAATTTTTCTGTCATTGTTTTCAAATGGCAGTCAAACATTTTCCACTATCTTTCTAGATCATTTTCCACTATCTTTCTAAATCAATAGAGTATGTTTCAAAACATACCCTATTGATTTCTTGTATGTATTTGATTCAGAAGGCCAAAATAGACACATTTCAATTACAAACTGTATACAAAAATAAAGAAAATACTTCAATTAGTTAATGTTATGTGATTGACGTCAATGGTAAATACTTTTTGCATATCTATGACGATTTGCAATAATCAAACAATACATAACAACAATTATGCAAAACTGGTCGACTGGAATACAAACCCAGAAATTGAGACGTCCCTTAAAAAACTGCACTATTTTGTTTGAGAGCAGAATATTTGTTTTGTACAACCATTTGCAGACCCCTTAAAACTTCTTATACTCCCAGAGAGTGTATCCCAATACGAGGATATCGATTTAGATCAACATTCCTACCGGACGTCGTTTAATACGTAAATATACAGTATATTCAAATGACATCAATATGTTCACCATATGTCTTATTGTCAAACAAGAGAAGGCACGATGACCGTATTATATAGAGTGTCAACCCTTGAAGTTTACTCGAATATTAAGAAAATGTAGTTTGCGAGTCGAACATCATTTATACACTGATTGATTTTGCTTTTTGCGTGTACAGTAAAGTGATGTCTTTATGGATCTTACTGGAATTGTAAACCTCATTGATAAAATAAATGCAGAAATTTGCAGTTTTACTTTTTAGTTATAGTGAAGCAAAATGGAATGTTTTTCATGTGGTTAAGTGCGGACAAACTTCAAATAAGATTGTCTTTATGAGTAAATCGTACTATTACGAGTGTCTTGTAAAAGAATAAAGAATAAATGAAAACCCAGGTAATCCCACATACAAAAACATATCATTTGACAAGGATGAGATTTTAGCGAATCATAAGTCCTTCATGTCATCAAAGAATATTACATTGAACAGCAAATCTGAGGACTTACCTTGTTTGTTATGGATTCTTAGATTCACAAAAGTCCGTTCAAACAACAGTACATTGCCGGCTCATCTGCATGTTCTACATAGGAATTGTCCATTAGATTGACAAAAATTATGTCCGCAATGAACGAGGGTCTTCAGAAATACTGTGAAACTGTTTACTCGCGTAGTGGTATTAACCATATGTGGATTCAAAAAAACTCTAAAGAACTTCTGCATAATTTTAAATCTCGATCTTTCTCTGAAATTAATTCTATCAAAACTTTTGATTTTTGAACCCTGTATACCACCATTCTCCATGTGAAATTAAAAAATCGTCTAAAAGAAATGATCCGCAATGCTTTTCAATTTAAAAATGGTAGCATACGCTATAAATTTATTACTTTGGGATACCATACGGCACATTGTGTTAATAGTGAACAAAAAGGAAAAACATGCTACACAGAGGAACAAGTGGTCAGTATGTTGGAGTTTCTTAATGACAACATATTTGTTGAATTTGCAGGTAGACTTTTTTTAACAAATTGTCGGTATTCCTATAGGAAGGAACTTTGCGCCTCTCCTTGCGGACCTCTACTTATAAGTCCGAGTTCCCTCAGATATTTGTCAAAAACAAGAAGATAAAAAAACCAGATCATTTAATTATACATTCAGATATAATGACGATATTCTTTCCAATTACAATCCACACTTTTCTGATTGGGTTCCATCAATATATCCCCCAGAACTAATTATTAAAGAAACAACAGACACGGCTTCCTCCGCCTCATTTTTAGACTTATTCCTCGAATTTAACATAAGCGATCATCTCAGTACCAGAATCTATGACAAACGAGAATATTTTAATTTTGAAATTATCAATTTCCCTTACCTAAGTAGCAATATACCAACTTCACCTGCATATGGGATATACATTTCCCAACTCATTCGGTATTCAAGAGCTTGCAGCTGCTACTCAGACTATATAAAACATCACCAGTATCTGAACAGAAAGTTGATGAACCAGGGTTATGTCAGAGAACGTCTCGTCTTTTTTCTAAAAAAAACGTTCATTGGAAGATACCAAGACCTTGTTGATAAATATTCCGTATCAACTTCACAAATGATGCATGATGGTCTTAAAGTATAGATTCTAGGTACTGACGTTGTTTATCTACTTAATTACGTGTTATAGTGTTCTTTTATTTGTCTTTGTAAATTATTAACCTTTACTGTTTAGTCTATATTAGGTAATATCCTTTTGGCGTGGCTCGGTACTTATACATCCCGACATTATGTTATTGTGCTATGGTTATGTTTTGTTTTCCTGTCTTTCATTTTTGCTTTGTCTTTACATTCATAAAAAAAAGCGTAAGAGCGTTCCAAGCATTTCTTTAACAAAGAAGGAGACGAAACAACTTTCAATCAAAGATCACAGATGTCAACACTCAGTTCCCAATATGACCTACATCGATTAGCAAACCCCATATCGTAGAGTAAGACATAAAAGTTCCGGGACGACAATACATGAAAGAAATCAAAAGATATTACCTTCAAGGCCAGTAGTCGGTTTCTTAAAAAAAACTTACGACTAGATTGAAAAGAGAGTACTAGTATACATGAAAAACATTTCATAATTTGTCTTTCAAATGACATGACTAGAAGCTCTAATAATGCAATACAGATAGAGACTCTCTTACTATAATTATCGTAATCATATATCTTTATCGTGCTGAATTTGTTCAAGTTTGCTTATTAATGACACAATTCAAAATTTGTTTTTTACATTCTAACAGATGATTCATAATCTTTGTTGATTAAATATTTTTATTGATTTTTTTTAATTTACAATAAGGAAATTAAACACGGACGATATTTTCATAAATTTTATTCGCTTTTTAAATTTATTCATATTTCAACACATGTCAGGTGGCTTTCAGTTTCAGATCATAAATTATGTAACCTTTATACTCCTTTAAGTCTGAGGGGATGTCTGGATTTTTTATTAAGAGAAAACTTAACATGTATTGAAGGTGAATGAAAATAAATAAAATTTAAAAATAAAAACAAGATATCCGCTTTTCAGGGAAGGATTGTACATTTAAACGGGAAAAGAATACTATAACTCTTTATCACATTTCATAAATGATGATATATTGAAAATATATTTTTCGGGAAAACCGTTATTTTGTATTTGTATGAACTATGATATCAGCAAAATAGATGGATAACAATGGTATCGGTATGGTATGATGACAAGTTGGCTTAAAAAAGAGGATCAATTCAATATTTAGCACGACATTTTAACGAATTTGTTGATTGCAATTAGATAAATTGATTGATTCATTGATGTTTGCTTTTCACAGAACACAAAAAGGGTGCATCGAGATTTTTGTTATAAAACATCACCCATGTTAATTTGCATTCTTTGGAGTAGTCGGTAAAATATTGTTCACTGCTTAGGAAATCTGGAAATTGACCATGAGGGTCGGTTGAAAACAAAACTTTACGACAAAAGAGATGATTTCAGCTTCCCAATTGTGAACTTTCCATTTCTATGTAGCAACATTCCAGCAGCGCCTGCATACGTAGTATATATCTCCTAATTGATACGATATTCTAGGGCTTGTTTTTTCTATTTTGATTTCCTTGATAGAGGGTTGCTGCTCACAAGGAAGCTATTAAACCAAGAGTTCAAAGTAGTGAAGTTAACATCATCCCTTCGTTAATTTTACGGACGCCATCACGAGTTGGTTGACCGTTATTGAATATCCGTTTCACAGATGATAGCGGAGATGTTCCAAATGTCGTAACTACAATCCCGTCCCCTTTTCCCCGAATGTGACCTACCGAATAAGACTTATTACCGGGTTTGTACTAACATAAGCAACACGACGGGTGCCACATGTGGAGAAGGATCTACTTACCCTTCCTGAGCATTTGAGATCACCCCCGGTTTTTGGTGGGGTCCGTGTTGCTCAGTCTTTAGTTGTTTTCTATGTTGTGTTAATGTATTGTTATTTGTCTATTGGTCTTTTTTTAGCCATGGCGTTGTCAGTTTATTTTCGACTTATGAGATTGAATGTCCCTTTGGTATATCTTTTGCCTCTTTTTTTATTCAACGTTGTTCAGCTAAGATTCAAACAACGCAGTACTCGTGCTTAATATAGACATATAAACATTACATGTAAGTAAAGATAGTCATAACAGATTTAGAAATAAGCATTGAAGATCAATTTTCGCCATTTCGTCTGAATGTTTTTGTTTCGTTTTATTTCTTTTAAAGTTAGGTAAACTTCACTTGATTAAAAAATATTGATATTTAGAGATCAATCTTTTTTCAATTTTGCATTTTTAGAAACAAGAATAACGGTCATTGCAAGGATGTCAAAAGCGCAACAGAACGTGTATGTTAATAATATCTTCGATGCAGGGAAAACAGACCCGGACAATACTTTGGAATATGAAGAATGTTTTGCATCTGTTGACAAATCCATTTATGATGAACTATCTTCGACGCAAGAGAAAGGAACCCCAAGTAATGATTCCGTCAAAATGAACTCAATGCCCAGTGTTCAGTCTAAACAATCAGACAATACAATTGATCAAAAGAAACTAGCTCTACTCAGGCCAATGTTTCTTATACTTTTTTGCATCCTGATTACAGCCTTAGTTACAGCTATCGCCACTTTTTTTGCAACAAAAAATAATCTCTCAGAAAAGAAGACCATACGTAAGTATATAATATAAATATATTTTTATATCTACGTAAGGTGTAGAAAACCTTGTGTTTCGAATAATTCATTATTTTATAAATAGCAAATTTACAGAAAACCAACGCATCATATATTTATACGTAAGATCAACACAGAATTGCTGACTACTGGGATGGTCATAAAATAGAAAAAAAATATCCTGATCAAAGAAACGCAAAACGGTTTTGAGAACAAGTGTGTTGAATTGATTTCTGCTAATTATGCATCATCGAACATAAATCAGAATAACTTTATAGATTAAACATCAGGTTCCTAAAATACAATGTGAGAATACTAGCGAGTTGCAAAATTGAAACTATCAACCCATTTTGTGGATTTTTTATTAAGAAATCTTGTATTAAACAATTACAAAAATCGTTCAACATCAATAGGAATCTCAGGTTCCAATTCTCTTTGTCAAATTTTACCTTAGATGAATTCGGCAATTCTGTTTAGGTCTTTTTAATGTTGCATCGTATTTACGCATTCTTGGCTTTTAAATGTTTAGGTTTGAGCGTTCCCGATGAAGGTAAATCTAAAAAGTGCTTCGGACGCATGAAATGAAAAAGGGTTTATTTCATTTACCTGCACTGGGTCCTCTACTGGTGGACTGTTGATCCCCGAAGAAATCATCAGTCAGTGTTTAGTTAATGACATGATTTATATCATGTACTAATTTAATATTTTCCATTCATAAAATTAAGAAATTAATCAGAATTAACGGTTTATATTCCCTTAGGCAAAGTTGAGTTAAATCCAGAAAAGCGCTTCCAACGCAGGAAATTTATAATGTGTTGTTTTCATTTGTGACCAATTGGAATTTGGCTATTCTATTAGGGTAATTTTTATTTGTCCTAAGTTGCAAAGTATTGACGCATCCTTGGCTTTCAAATCTTTAAGTTTAAGCGTTTTTGGTAAAAGTAAATTAAGGCGACAGTAGTTTACCGATGTTCAAATCACGTATACTAAGTAGATTAGGAAGAGACTAATTGATTTAAAAAACAAAAAACTAAGGGAATTATATTGACTCCAAATAGAGTGAGACTCGGTGTGTCGAATAGGCGACCATCTCATGGCAACCGTATCAGACTAACATAATTTATAAAGTGTTTATTTCATTTCCAAAAATATCAAATTTTTTTATCAATTTTACCAATCTTCTTTTTTAATACAGATGCAACAGAATGCAGTAAAACTTGTGACAACGATACAGAACGCAGAGTTCAACAACAAATCAGTCATTCTTGTTCTAGAGAGTTCTGTCCTGGTATGTTTTTATCACTGACATGAAAGTAGTACCCATATTCACCTATGCGAGAAGCCTTATCCAACCTACTGATAAGTTGTCGAAATGTTTTGCGCTGTCAGACGTTATTTTTTGCGAACATCCATCTAGCTCCTTGAATAAAACATACACTAGACCTTTCGTAAAACTCACCTTCAAAACAAAATTGAAATTCTTGAACACATCAAGGACTATTTGAACTTCAATGTTACACGTTGAACGACAAACGGTCAACCGCAAATTGTTGTTGTCGTATCTTTTAATCTGCATTTTTTATGTTAATTTCTGAATAAAATCTTATTATGTTTGTTATCAATATAAACCATACTTTAACATATTTTTATTTTTTAATCCAAAAAACATTCAATTTAGAGAAAATGAAGAAAAAAAAAGTCTTCACTCTGAAGCCTGTGTACATTGATCGAAATACCTGTTTGCAATAAATTTGTTACATATATAGTGGGTTTCATATCGTCTGCGACGGAAGAGGTGCTATTTCCGGCGTTGACGGTACTAACAATTGTTCAAACTTTGATTTAACAGTTTACGTTAATATGGAACTAATATCATGTTGGTGCAACAATTTCAAAACACAAAGAAATAACCTTGACATGGAAGATAAAAACTATATATCTCAGGTATGCCGGGATAGTTTATTATTCTAATAAAAAAAAAATACTCCACGAAACTCTTGTGCTTTCTTATAAAAGTCTTTTTGCTTATTTCCGATTTGATTTTGTAATTACATAATTTTAACACGGGTTGTTTCCTTTGCCTACTGAACACTGGTTCTAAATCGGACAAAGAAGGCTACTGCCCATGCATAATAAGTAATATATTTGCGTTTTAAATTTTGTTTTTAATAAAAACAATACTATTGTTATCAAAAGTCGTTAGCGTAATAAAAGATTAAACGTGATCAAATAATTTTAAAAACATAAAGATTACAACCATAACGCACAGATAAAGGGTTAAGTATGAAAAGCCTAAATGTTGCGCCTGAAATGGCAAAGAAGTAAACTTATTCAGTCCTTTCAAAATTAATAAACTTTAACAGCTTCAAATTCTGTATTAATTTCACCTTAATAAGTTCGTTTTAATGCAGATTCAATCAATTTCGGAGCAGTTTGTGTGTTTTTGTGTTCGTATTGATATACAAAAATAGAAAAATATAATCCGAAATTTCTGAAGGATTAACAATACTTTCCTTGCTTGTTTGGTAGTCTTTTAGTCCTATTTGTTAAACATGTTAAATCATATCAAAATTGGATAACAGAGTCAAAGAAATTCCTAGCGCTATTATTGATATTTAAAAGACATACCCATGAACGGTTGATAAATCATTAGTTTATGAATCAAGAGACAATTATTAAAGTAGAAATATCGAAATTGCACATTTTTTTTTAATTGAGCGAAACCAGATGAAAGTTGGAAGTGTAAATCATCTCATTTTATCGAGCTATCGCGATCATTACGTGACTTTCATGATTCAGAGACTCTTTTCACAAAACATCTTACGATGAAAATTGATCGTAAGTTAAAGTGAAATGTTTTTGACTTAAGTGTAGTTTTACTCGTAAGATTTTTTTGTTAAAATTGTTGCAGTTGATTATCAATAATATCCGATCGTTTTATCAATGAAAATGAACAGGGTACATAGATCGTAACTTTTTTTTGATACATTATGTATTTATCCACCTAACTCCACATTGTAGAGATCTTTCTTTTTGTTTATTCCTGTGACTTAAATCTTCACAGAATTTTGCATTGAGCTAGCAAAGATTCTATCAATGGGAGTTTTACGGACGCCCCTAGTGCAATCTTGATTTTTTCAAATCAAAATAAATAGAAATAGCACTAAGCATAGCTGCAAATCCTTTAGGTGTACTTATAAGTTTCATTAATGACGACATTTTGGTCCATTTGGTCCATTTGTAGAAAATTCAAGGCATCTGGTCTTGTCCGATGTAAAGAGCTCTCGAGACAAAATGGACTCACAGATCCTTTCTTATCTTTTAGTTTTCAGACTTCACTGCAAAACTACTCACGCAATGTTACTTAAAAGAACAACTGTAATTATCCCTTGTCATCAAGTTTTAAAATACGACTGTCCTCAAATACTAACGAATATCATATACTAATTTCTTAGTAGTCATATTCTTTTGGTATTTAGTAGGGGAAATATATAACCATATCTATGGTACAGTGAACATTACTGAAAAGGCAGTTAAATTACATTTCAGTTACTCTTACAGATGAATAGTCGAATGAATCCCGTCCCTAAAAATGCTATTAAAGAAATGTTTACAAAATTAGGGTCCAGGACGTTGTTTCAACCTTCCTGTTGTAATGTTCCAACTTCAAGATGATTAACTAAGCTATTCAGGACAATTCAAATGTAGAACATACAATTAACATTGATTCAATTATATTTCAGGTAATGGTGTGCATTTAGGCGTGCGCTTCAGTCGAACAGAATTATACTCTTCATACTATATGTCAGATGATAATACAACTTTAAGTAATGTTAATACAGATGAAACGTCTAAGAGTGCCTCGGCCCGATTATTGACTTACAGAGGAACGATTTCTGATGTATGTGTAGGCGACGATGATTTGATTTATTATGAAATAAACTATACATATTCAATACGCACTGACTTGACCAATTATTTCGATAAAGAGGATATATTGGAAGTTGGCATTGCTGGACGTTCTAATGTAGATAAATATACAAATGCTGGCGCTGCAGCAAGTGGATGGTCTTTCAACATGTATTATACAAGTTTTTATTTTAATTGGTTTAGTAGGCATAATGTATACATAAATGCTAGACATAACGGGCGTAGCCATACAAGTAAAAGCCTTTTAACAGCTTATATAGGTGAAGAATTACACGGCCAACTAAAAATTTTCATTAACACACGCAGAAATGAGTTTACTGTTATGCACAATGATTTGAAAGTTTATGTTTTTGACGAAGTAAAATCAAACGAAACCCTTTGTCCGGTGTTTGGAGTGTACAATCCTCAATATGTAAACGTTCAACTAAAGATACTAAATTCTTTAAATTTTTCTATGTATCCCTGGTGATTACGAGTATAATCTTTTTAATTTTGTCATCATCAAATAGTGGCCTTGTCCGCGACGATATCGTCAGATTTTAAAAATAAAACAAAAACAAACAAAAAAATAAGGAGACCTTAATCAAGCTATCATTGTATTGTAAATGATTTTCATATTTTCATATGCAATGAACTAAAGAAGAAGTAAAACATGGAGACAATCTGAGTCCTTAATTATTTGAACGTTTCATAAATGACCTCCATTATTGTCTTAAATGTTTGCCCGATCAAGTCGTTGTTAATATACGACCAATCCATTGTTTATTATATGCTAACGGTATTGTCATTTTTTTTCAACCTCAGCAAAAGTACTTAAGAGTAAACTTGATGGACTAAGTACTGTCACTGAATTCAAATTGAAAAAAAAACCAGCCTTCATGTATTTGATCATACAATAAGGCCTATTATTTTGTATAGTTTAGAATTTTGGGATATTTTAACCCTTTCAAAAAAAAAATTAGAATCTCAGACTACAACTGTAGATCAGGTTTATCCTAAGCTTCTTTCAGAAAGACTACATATTAAATGTTGTAAACTTTTACTTGGTGTAAGCAAAAGGGCAACAAATTTTGTCATTCTTTCTGAACTAAGGAGATTCCCACTACATTTTGACATGGCATGGATCCGTAAACTTCTTTCTAAATAACATAAAAGGTTTCTAAAGTTTCGCTTCTTCGAGCAATTATAGCTTGGATTTTTCATACTAAACATATATGTACGAGTTCTATAAGGATTAGTGGAGACTCCAAATGCACAATTGTGCTGATGATAAGCTCTGTAGCTACAGCACTTTCAAGAAAAAAATTGTTCTTTCAAAGATATCCCCCTTTTTTTTTTACAATACCCTGAGCGGAGGGGAAATTCCTCTAGTTTGCATATTTTGTCTCATAGACTTATAATTGAGTAAGGTCGTTATCAGGGTATTTCTCGACAAAAATGGTGCACCTCAAATGAAATTGATGATTAATTTTTTTTTTATTTTCATGCACCTCAGAAACTGTATGTACTACAAGATTTACCCACACTGTCCCAATTTTAAAAACTAGATTGCTAGCCAGAAACTGATCTGGTTAATGATTCTAAATATCTGTTCGTGATTTGATTGATGAAAGCAAAATAATTATGTAGCTTCTGTGCAATAATATCAATATGAACCTCTGTATGTATTTTATCATTACCAGTCAGAACTATTCCCATATATATATATATTTGTTTTATATTTGGTACGCTTAGGCATGTCATTTAGCATCGTCTCTTGGTGCCTTCTGCAGTCAGGCTAACTTACAATATGTATCAACCCCTCTGCATCAGGAACGAGGATAACACCCCAATTTTGTGCATTTTCCCATAACATTTTAACCAATTATTTATACTATTACCTAACTACATGAATAAATACCATGTGGGTCTATCTCACACCTGGCCATGCAACACCTTTCCATGGTTGCTTTTGCTGTTAAGTTACATATCCACTGTATTGCCAGTTTATTAAAAGCACTTTTTTATGTTGGTTGTGCCTGAGAATGAGGTATTATACTTTCAAATCCCTATATATTTAGTGTATAGATGTTCAAACTGTGTTTCTTTGTATATATACTTAATTATTGTGTTTTGGTTCTCTACAATAATGTCTTATGTTGTAATAGTATGCTCTTTGTGATCCTATTGGATGGAAACAAAACATCTTCTTATATAATGTTATGAATGAAAATTGAATTAAAGCTCTTTATCGACTTTTGGGTTTCGTTTCAGAATAAGAATCATGATTCTAAGACAAATCCAATTATTACTGAAGCTTGCTTTCGTAGAATTTTTTTTGTTTCTGTACTCAATTCAGAATTTTGCTGAAGGAAGCTTACACTTATGACATGTATGAGTTTGGAAATTTTTCAGATGTATTCTCCAATTTTTAAAGGGTTTTAGTTGTCATCTTTCATTGCTCAATATATGCAATCTTTTTTCAATGAAATATTTTCTCAATAAAAGTATTAATTGTGATTAAAAAAATGTTGAGTTTTCCGTTTGTTCATTTTTTTTTTTTAAACTGTTCGATTTCCGTGTTTATCCCCCTAATATCAGAATAATAGTTGCACAATAACGCAAGTTTGATAGGATATGGGACTGATCGAAGCAATACATGAGGACCGATAAATATTTACAGTATACACAATAAAGGTTGTTATAGTGAATCCAAAACACTTTCTAACAGCAATATCCTTTTGACAGTTTATCATGCAGACAATTGTGTTTCTTTTAGATTTTATTTGTTATCAATTGCGTATTATTTATTTCTTTAACAGATCGATTGATAGTACATTCAAACTCACGATGAATAATCTTAGAATTACTTACAGTGGCTAGTATCTATTTTAAAACTTAAATCTAGTGTTTGTTTTATATTGTTTATATTTATGATGATACCTCATGTATATGTATTCCATTTAGTCAGTTTATTTTAAAATTAGTGATGTGATAAGAGTATTCATAAAAAATATGTAATTGAATAAACTACAGACTGACAAACAATAATTTGTCAAGGAAATTTGATGGTATTCTGTTATTTTGATTTGAAGATATAGTTATGTCGAGACTTTCAAAATTATATTTTGTTTCGCAATACAATCTTTCATCTATAACTGTGCATGCTTTTTAAGACAACATAGAAAATTTCATGGTAATCTGTAATTTTGATTTGTAGATATAGCAATGTCGAGACTTTAAAATAATATTTTGTTTCGCAATACAATGTTGCATCTTTGACTGCGCATGTTTTTTAAGACAACATAGAAAACAAAATAAAAACTGATAATGTCATTGTTAAAGAGGTTTCAGACCACCAATTCACCCACTCTTATTTAGAACATATGTAAAAGTAGCCCTTCCCTGACAAAAAATAGTGCTTTTGGTGTCATTATTTACTGAAACTAACCAACAAATTTGCAGAAACGAAACTTTTGTGAAAAAAAAATACAGTCAGACCATTTTGAGCCAAATTTACTTGTCCATGAGTTTACATTTACAATTGAGGAGTAATGCGTTCCATATTGAGGAGTAATGCGTTCCATAGTATACTTATTTAAGATTTCCAGAAAACCAGGGGTATTTTTAGTAGTAGTTGCTTCCGAACAGTCATGCTTCATAACAAGACTTGAAACATTTGTTGAAAATTGGCATGTAGAAAGGTGATAAATGTACAGTTCAGGATATACCTGGTTTCTATGAAGTTAAAATTAAGGTAAAATATTTAGAAAGCTGTGAAAACTGAAACATTTGGTTGAAAATATAGGGATTTTGAATAGGTGGTCTGACACCTAGAATCACAACGTAATTATAAGTTGCAAATGCTTCTTTTGGGGCGCACAATTTAAGTTGAAGCGCTTTCGTACTTTATTAAAAAATGTGCTTTGGTCGTCGCTTTTAAACCCAAATAAGTTTCAAAAAGAAGCTTTCGTTTCATAAAATGATAACGCTTAAATAACTAGGTATTTGTTTCAGAATTGTTGATCGTTTTAATAAGTTGCAACAATTTTTTGAATGAATCTTGAAAGTGTTTTGATAGCAGAGCTGATATATTGCACGCTTACTTTCTCTTTTACTTCTGTTTCCCAATGTGTAAAACGGGTTTGAATTTTTATAATTGTTGGGAAAAAATCTACATTCGCAATATTTATGTATTAACAACATTCATGTGTAACAAACTATGTTTTGAAGCTAATAGTATAAGTTAATGTTCCGTATGTTATTTAAACATTATATGTGAACAAAATTTAAATTTATATATTTTCGATAGTATGTAATGTGTTGCGTTATAGTTTACTTCTTGTTGAAATATTGTCGTATTTAATAGTGATGTTTCTTCTAATTGACTTGGATGATATTTTACTTGTTGTAAATATAAAAATAAGAAGATGAGACAACTCTCCACAACAGACAATCATAATGAACGAAAAAAAAAATATGATATAAAGCAACAAATGACAACCACTGAATTATAGGCTACTGACTTGGGACAGGCACATACAGAATGTGGCGGGGTTACACATGTTAGCGGGCGCCCCCCTTTCCCCCTAACCTGGGACAGTGGTATAACAGTACAACAAATGAATAGACTATAAAAATCATCTGAAAAGGGCTTAACTCATCAAATCGATACAAAGCACAACAACACAGCGTTGACGTGGCAGGGTACTTATAAATCCCAATGACAAAGAGACATTAAGTACAGATCTGGGAGTACTATCAGTTACTGGCAGCCAGTCATGCATCTAAGACTTAAATATCAATTAATACACATCCAGCATCAAAGGATTTAGTGTAAAGACGTCATAAACAGTCAGAGAAAAACATGATCTTGTGTAATGCCAAGATACAGGTATCGACAGATTGTAGAGCCATGAATGTGCGTATGTATATAAAGATAATATTTAGTTTGATTTTAGTTTACTGATAACACAATCAATATTAATACCAATAAAAACAATATTCAAAGATCTAGTTATAGTGTTGAATTGGTAACCTTTTAGAATAAGTTTATTTGAAGGATCGATAATTTTACCCAGATCGTATCTAAATTTTCAGGCTCGGTAAGTAAGGTACAAACAAAATTCCAAACCAAATCTTTATATCTATGAATGAGTTTAGTAAAGGTTTTAAGTAATTTGTGGTAACGACATCCCTGAATTAATAATTTACCAGTAATACATAGATTACGTTCATTGAAATCACAACAGACATGGGTATAGCGAGCGATTTGTGAAATATAATCACCGTACGATGTGCCAAAAAAGGAAAATTAACAATAGGGAACGAAAAATCGTCCCTTTTGTCGTAAATTTAAGTGTAGAGTTTCACGTGTAAAACTGAAATATCTAATCTAGGAAAGAACAGTTATTTATATTTGATTTATTTAAAGTAAGTTCCTTTGGGTAAATTTCGGCAGTATATTTAGAAAAATCTTTATTATTTAACGAAAAAATATCATCATGATAGCGTTAAGTGTGCTAGAACCATTAATAAAATTGAGAATGGAAATGGGGAATGTGTCAAAGAGACAACAACCCTACCATAGAGCAGACAACAGCCGAAGGCCACCAGTGGGTCTTCAATGCAGTTTATTTTCAATAGATAATTCTAGAAAAACACGGATTACAACTCAGTGATCAACAGTCATACATGTATCAGAGTATCATAAGGTGTAAGCTATTTAAAAGGAGTTGGATGGGTATTATATATAGATACGACAATTATCCAACGGTGTAAATATTAAACCGAGAGTGATCCAGAAACTAACATACTAGATGGATATATTTCTTCACTCTCCGCTATAAAGATGATGTTCTCTCACTAAATAATTTAAAATTTGGTGACTATGTTGAACGCATCTATCCCATCGAACTTGAGATAAAGGATACAAAAGATACAGTTAAGTCTGCCTCATATCTTGACTTACATCACGATATCTTGACTTACATCACGAAATTGACAATGAGGGTCGGTTGAAAACAAAACTTTACGACAAAAGAGACGAGTTTATCTTCCCAATTGTGAACTTTCCATTTTTATATAGCGAAATTCATCAGCGCGTGCATACGGAGTACATATCTTTCAGTTGATACGATATTCCAGGGCTTGTATTTCCTATCATGATTTCATTGAGAGAGTAATTCTGCTCACAAGGAGGCTATTAAACCAAGAGTTCCAAGTGGTGAAGTTAAATCACCCCTTCTTAAATCTTACGGACGCCATTATGAGTTGGTTGACCATTACGGAATATTTGTTTCACAGATGACAACGGATATGTTCCAATTGTCGTAACTACAATCACGTCCCTTTTTTCCCGAATGTGAACTAAGACTTATCACTGGGTTTGTACTTACATGAGCAACACGACGGATGCAACATGTGGAGCAGGAACTGCTTACCTTTCCGAAGCACCTGAGATCACCCCCAGTTTTTGGTGGGTTTCGTGTTACTCAGTCTTTATTTTTCTAGGTTGTGTTTTGTGTACTTTTTTTTTTTGTCTGTTTGTCTTTTTCTTTTTTATCCAGTTTTTTTTCGACTTAGGAGTTTGAATTCTCTTTGGTATCTTTAGCATCTTTTTTTTTCTTAGACCGACAACAATATCATTTAGAAAGTAAAAAAAGTAAAAAAAAACTTGAGTTCAAAAGCAAGAGGTAGTATTAGTAATACCAATGAAAATATCAAGAATATCGCTCTATTGATTACTGTCATCGTATTCACTTTTGTTACTCTCGAGTCCAGTGTGAAGTTACTAGTTCAATGTATATATTCCGCAGTTGGAATAATAATAATAAGTCCAATAACATTTTGTTAATTATTATAATAATGCCTTTAAAAAATATAATAATGCCTTTAAAAAAATATAATAATGCTTATAATTATTTTCTAGTAATTAGATTAATAAAAATATAAACAATTTAAAGACAACAAATGAAAAACATTTTATTATGATTTAAGCGGTAGGAGTTTATCCGATAATACCTCCTCCTGGTGCTGGGAATCTGTAAAAGGAAAAACAAATATGTACATAACTACCCTTCCGGAACACCTGAGATCCACCCGGTTTTGGTGGGTTCATGTTCCTCAGTCTTTTGTTTTCTAAGTTGTGTTTTCTATACTGGTATTTGTCTTTTCGTCGTTTTTCGCTTTTTGCCATGGCGTTGTCAGTTTGATTTCGACTATAAGTTTGACAAATCCTTTGGTATCTTTCTCCTCTCTTTGAGCATTTTTCGTGTAAGGTCGAATGTTTGTGAAAAAGTTATATTTAATTTTCGTCTTTATCTCTCCATTACTGAAGGGAAGCTTTGGTTATCCGAAGAGTTAACAATTAACCAATGAATATTATCATAATATCTTAAGATTATGTAATAATAAAAAAAAAATAGTATTAGTTTAATGATTATAAAATATGTATATATATTGATTGTACATTTAAACTTTTACGAAACAGCACAAATATAAACATAACATATAAGTAAGTTCAATGTAATGTGCCACACTTACATAGTTCAAAGGGGAATTGCATGCATCTTTCATATAAATACAGAACTGTAAAAGTTTCCAATGTTGCATCCAAAAGTGTTAAAAAGAGGATTTGAGATACATATTTACCAACATAAATATGTCCTAAGTTGGGACCTCCGTAAGACACCTACACTGGTGTCCTATACTTAGGACAATTTCTAGGAAAAGTCCTAAATTGCAACACGTTTGATGAACCCACTTAGGACAAAAAATATGCCCTTAAATATTCATAAGGACAGGTCCTACTCCTGAGACTGCTTCGATTAACACAGCTAGGAACACCAAAATGTGAAGATTGAGCAGTACTAACTTCACAAACAAACAAACGGTGATCTTAGGTTTTAATGTATGGTACATATTACGTATCAATTTTCTACAGTACGCTATACATACTCCATTTCACAGATAAAGTGCGATTCGTCCAAACAGTTGTCATCGTTCCATTTTCCCACCTTGCCTGTCCATTGGACTATTTCGAGACAGTTTTCACCATCAGGGTTTTTTAGTATTGAATTCTCTGGTGAATTTTCATTAACATTACTGTAGGTTAGGGGTTTTCCACTCACTGCCAAGACCCATACACCCTCAATTACCTCATCTGTTCCGCCTATCCAAAAATCTGCTGTAAAAAATACGGATATATCATGTTAGTTTTTATATGGTTTTATTTTCATTATAAATTAGTTTTAAGAAAATAAATATTTGATTGAAAATAAATTCTTTCTTAAAATGCCAAATACATATTTACTGTACGAAATGCAGAGATTGATTGATTGATTTGGTTTTAACGCTACTTTCAGCACTATTGTACTATTTCGTGGCGGTCAGTTGTTATTGTTGGAAGATGCCGGAGTGGCCGGAGAGAACCATCGACCTTCGGTAGGAAAACTTACAATCCTAGTCAATTAAGATTGGAGTCGTGCTTACCTGCCACGTGCGAGATTCGAACTCACAACCTCGGTTTTGACAGGCTAGCAATATAGTTGTTCGACAACTTAGACCACTCAGCCTCTGAGGGTCCCGGAATGCAGAGAAAGAACTGTATTTTAAAGGTTACTGATTGATCTTTTTTTTTTTCAGATAAAGCGCATCTATTTCACAAATATGTTATGCAGTGGGTTATAATCAGTAACCATGCACCCTAATATCGTAAATCATTTTCCTCATTGGCACTTAACAGATAGCATAAATATAAAATGTCTCTGGATTTGATTTAATATTCTGTAAGAAAATGCTACATTAATTTGTTTTCCCAAGGTAACAAATTTATATCATTTGCCAGTTTCCATGGCAAAACCAGCTATTTTTTAAAATTAACACGCTTTACATGACAAGTTACATTTTTCACAAAGTTTTATTTAATTGAAACACTTTCGATTTTTCATATTTTTGCTGTTTCCGTGGCAGTGAAATTTAAAAGTCAGATGCACAACTTCACTTGGTGGTTAACATTATGGTAAAGTTCCACCTTACCTTTTTTAAATCTAGTTTTTTAGACTGGCATTGTTGATGTTGTTTTACCAAACAATTCACTAAACTGATATTGTTTCTAAAGGAATAATTTTTTGAAAGTCGAAAAAAACAAAAATTAAGATACAAATGCAACTTGCTAATGTACAAAAATGGAGAAAAACACACAACAAAACTAGGACTACCATTGAAAGCATAAGCGGGGTCATCCCCTTCTAACAAAATACCATGAACCGGCAGTAAGTTTGAAGTTTTTAAATAGTGATTGCATATATATG